CCTGCGGCGACGTGCGGGGAGGGTGGAGTGAAGAAGACCCTGGACCCTAGGCGGGACGGGGCGGCGGCGGCTGTGTGCCTCGGGGGATGATTTTCGCCCTGTAAACCCCACTTTCCCCATCTGCGAAAGGGGGATTATCTCCACTTTGCACAGAGTCCAAGAGTAAATCAGGACCTGATGCGCAGTTCAGGTTCGATATCGTACAAGCCATTTTTGTTCTTGAGTAGGTCGGCCCCTCCTCAGGCCCTTCCCTCGGATCTCCAGACGCAGAAGTTGGGTTTTGCAGTCAACCATGCCACCCCTCTCCCCCAGTCTTCCCGGAGCTGGACCCTGTGAATTCCTCAGCGCCCTTCTTGGGCGCCCTCCCTCTGGGAGCCCTCGGCCTGCAGTAAATGTGTAGGAAGCGGAGAGCAGTGGGAGCACAGCGTTTTGGTGGTTTGGAAATCAATCAGAGCCCCCTCCGATATTTCTGTGGAACCTCAAAAAGAGTGGCTGAGTGGCCTTTACCCCGGATCAATCCACCGAGTGCTGTAATCTAGTGCTTCTGTAATCCAAATGGACATGAGTCCCCTAGGGGAATTTATGAAAAATACAAATTCTTAGACCCGCTCAGAAGCGAGAAGTGAAACGGTCGCAGGAAGAAACCAAGAATCTGTGCTTTTCTGTAAGGCTCCTCAGTGACTGAGGTGTGAGGCCAGGTTGGGTGTCCTCATAGGATAAGAAGTATGCCACACCAGACCTTCTGGTCCACCACTCATGAATTTTTTTTCCACAATGGGGGGAATGAACTTTTTTTTTTTGGTACCGGGGATTGAACTCGGGTCCTTGCGCTTGCAAGGCAGGCCACCAAACCGCTGAGCTAAATCCCCAGCCCAAGGGAATGAACTTTTTGATTCTGTACCAGTCATGTATCTGACAAAATGAAGCCAGGTGTATGTGTTGAGTGTCCTTCACAAGGTTGTCATGAGAAACCCAATAAAGGATGTCAGCACACCAAAAGTGGTGCACAAATAAAAGCCACTATGTATCCAGGCTGACTGCAAGCTTGTAAACCTAGCACTCTGGGAGGCTGAGGCAGGAGGATCGGGAAGGTGGTAAGTTTGATTCCATCCTGGGTAGCTTGACAACTTAATCAAAACCCCGTCTCAAAATCAGAAAAATTAAAAATGGGCTAGATAAGCACTTCAGTGGGAAAGCCCTGGGTTCAATCCTCAACCCAAAACAAAACACAAACTTACTCCTTGTGAGTTAGTGGTAGGGCCAGTGCTCTCATCATCAACCCCATCACAACCTGAAATGTTGTAGACGCTTGAATGGTAGATTGGGCCATTTCCTCCAAATTTAAGAAGAGTCTCAATTCTGTATTTGACCAGCAGTTCAAAGAATACTGAACATAGTAAGCACTTCAGAAATATTTGTGAGAAGCCCTGGGTTCAATCTGTAGCACAGAGAGAGAGAGAGAGAGAGAGAGAGAGAGGAAGGAGGAAGAGGAGGAGAAGGAGGAGGAGGAGGAGAAATTTGGGAAGGACAAGGGATGTAGCTCAGTAGCACAGTACCTGTTTGGCAAGCACAAGGTCCTAAGTCTGATCCTGGTACTGGAAAAAAGAAAGAGACAGAGAGAGAGGAAGGAAAGAAAATCTGGGAGTGTAGCTCAGTGACACAGAGCATAGGCTTAGCATGTACAAGGCCTGTTTCAATCCCCAACATAAAAAAAGTTCATTATTGCTGGGGATTTAGCTCAGTGGTTCCACCTCCTGCCTCGAAAGCACAAGGACCCAAGTTCGATCCCGGGTACCAAAAAAAAAAAAAGTTCATTATTGACTGGCCAAAGAGTAATATAGTGAAAAAGTATTTTTCAACAAATGAATAAATAAAAACTGAATTCATTTATGGAATAAATAAACCTCCAGCATTGTTACTCGGTTATTCCCCTACAAGCACATCCCTCTGCCCTTCAACCCTCAGGGTCCTGATCAGGCCTCTTCCCACTGAAGCTACCGCACTCAAAAATCTCTCTACCCAGCGTGGCCTCCACAGTCTCTGGTAATCCCGCCTTCCCCACACATTAGCTAGCTGCGTACGCACCACAGTTCTGTGAGTTGTCTTCTGCACCCACTGCCGTTTCTCTCCAGCTGCTTCTAAATTGCTGTAGTTGCAGGACCCATTTGTGCTCAGGATTTTACTCAGGAGTTTTGTGTTTTGTTTTTTTTCCCAGATATTGGGGATTGAACTCTGGACTTGGACGTTGTGCCCGTGAGGCAGACACAGTGTCACTGAGCTAAATCCCCAGCCCCTCCAGTGGTTTTTGACACATATATTTGCTGTTTTGGGACTTGGCAAGCGTAACAAACCTGGGTTACCAGAGAAGGGGATACAGTTTGAAGGAACACAATTTAGAAGGCAAGCCAAGGAAAGTCCAGAATGGAATGCTGATGCGCTATTCCTTTCTCCCTGTGCTCCCAAAGGAGAGTGTATCCACTGCCTTCCTCACTCATCAGAATTCTGACACAAGGGCTTTCAAACCCAGCTCCGGGCAGTGATGTGAGCACTTGCCTAGCAAATACGAAGCCCCAGTCCGCCAATAAGGACCCCGCAAAAACAAGCCTAAAGAGGAGGCACATTCGTACATGTCCTTAACTTACATAGAAAGAGAAAGATCTAAATCCGTGTCAGTTTGGTGTCGAGGGACGTAGGCCCACTGCTGAGCAAATTCCTCTAAAGATTTAGGGTTAGCAAGTGGCCAACTTGCTAGCCCTGCCCCAAGCTGCTCTCTGAGAAATGGGAATAAGGAAGGTGAGGGTCCACAGAAGGCCTGGGCCGTTCACGGTCCAGCCACCACCCCTAAACAACTGAGGGTCAGTTGCTTTCATCCTCCGGATCACCTCCTCTCCGGTACCACTCCCCACCCCCTGCTCTTTCTGAAATGCAGAACCTTCACTTGGGAACAGCCCCAGAACTGAGGAGGAAAAGCGTCCCCAGGGCGGCCCTGAGCGCTCCAGGGAGAGGGCCTGCTCCCAGGACTCCTGGCACCTTGCCTCCCTACGCAGAAATGTAATCTTCCCTCCAAGGTAACAAAGAGCTGGGAGGGTCAGGAGGATTTGTAGGCCCCCGGCC